CGTGATTTCAGAGCCCTTCTTTTTATGCCTTGGTGACACTGAGTTTATTGGCTCTGCAGGAGCTGTCCCAGATGCAGACCCAGGTCAGTGACACATCCGTGGTGCTGTCCATGGATAACAACCGCAGTCTGGACCTGGACAGCATCATCGCTGAGGTCAAAGCACAGTATGAGGATATTGCCAATCGCAGCCGGGCTGAGGCCGAGTCCTGGTACCAGACGAAGGTGAGTGTGTGGGCACAGCTGTGATAGGGTCCAAAGCTCATGTTCTCTGATGCTCCAAATCATCATTTAACTATTAGCCACAAGCCTCAGGAAACGTGAGCATTTCCACTTCCTTCAACTTGGCAGAAGCATCTCTGGTGCTATAAAAACTTAGCTTAAAATGTGTGTTGAAACCCAACCAAACACCCTAATAGGTGGTCTGCTGATGTTGGCTGCTCAGGACATCCACCGTTCCCACATCACTTATGATCTGGTTGGAGGCTGAGTGAAACTCTGAAACAATAAGGGAACAGTCATAAAGCTGTTTCTAAAGGGCTTCTTTATTCACTACATATTTACGGAGCTCTGACTACATGCCAAGCAGGGTTACAGAGTTGTAAATAAATAAACAGAACTCAAGATCTGGGAGGCCATGGAGTGAATGGACAATCTTGGGAGGGAAATAGACAATCTTAATAAAAATGGGTTTTCAGCCCATTTTGGAAGCAGCGAAGACCAAAAGATTGCCAAGGAAGTGAGAAGTGTTTAAGGCTCAGCAAGCAGTCCTGTGGGGCTGGAATGCGAAATGAGCAAGCACTTTGTTGAGCAAGAGAATTTGTATAGGGAAGAGGGAGGTTGGGACACCACAGAGAGCTGCTGTCCAAAGGTACAGATGGTCAGAAGGTTTGGCTTTGAAGGGGTGTAGTAGGCTGAATAGTTCAACCCACGAGATGAGCTTCCTGCCAAATCCAGATGCTTTTCAGGGGCAGCTGCTCACCTACGAGCTGGCTTCGATCCCTTGCTTGCTCTGCGCACTTTCTTAGTCCCTAAGTCTGCAACGTGGTGGGAAAGAAGAGGGAGTCAGCTGACAGGGAGGGGTGCATAGTGCCGAGGCAGCCCCTTGATGATGAGTGGAGGTGGGAAGCACTTAATCCCAGGTGAAGTGGTTAAAATTTATAGTGAACAATTCCTTTTGCTAGTAGAGGTGCTGTTCCCTTTGACCATGTGTATCTAGAAACACAGGAGCTGAGCTATTCAGCACTTTTAAAACCTGACAAATCGTCACAGGGTCCCTCCTTCCATTGAGAAAGATGTGGATTTCACTCCAGTCTGCTAGGGGAGACAGGGTGCATCTATTTCCCCTAAATGAAGGTGTCCTAGTTGTGCACCATGAGATAGAGGATTCCATTACAGAGTCTTCAGAACTGAGCCCTCTACAGCCTCAGCTCTATCCGACACCATTTCCCTGCATCCCCTTCCCATTTCCCCAGCACTGGAGTCTGTCTGTGTGACTACCAAAATTCATGGTCACAATCAGATGCATGTCCAGTGACCAAGAACTCTCGAAGGACAATGACCAAGAAGTAATTTCTCACTCCTAGGGTTCTCTGTGTTCCTTCCTACCCCAGAGTCCTTATACAGGCTGTTTCCCCTGTCTGGAATAATGTTCTTTTCCCAGCCAGTCACTTAGGTCACTCCTTCCCATCCTTCAGAGCTCAGCTCGAGCATCTCCATCTCTGGAAAGAACTCTCTGACTACCACTCCACCTCCCACCCCCTGATAGGTCAGATTTCTTTATTACACTCTTGCAGGACCCTGTTCATTTCCTAAGGGGCACTTATTTCAGTTTGGAACTATAGATTCGATAATATACTGATTTGATTAATGTCTATCTCCCCAATAAACTGTAAGCAGGGGGTTTGATTATGTTCTTTGTGATATTCCCAGAGCATAGCATGTGCCTGGCAAGTAGATGTGCTCAAGAAATATCACCTGAATAAATAAACAAGAGAATGTGTAAATAACCAGTGAATGGATGGGCCTGCTGCGGCACTGAGGGCAGGCTGTGCACCTAGAAAGTGAACAGCCCAGGCTTTTGACAAGGTGACTGACTCTGCTCTGGCTCTCTCAGTACGAGGAGCTACAGGTTTCGGCAGGCAGACATGGCGATGATCTCCGAAACACCAAACAAGAGATCTCTGAGACGAACCGGATGATCCAGAGGCTGAGAGCTGAGATCGACAGCATCAAGAAGCAGGTAAAGTTCTGGCAGGGCCAAGAGCTCCCCACACACGCATGTCTTCCGGGTCATTCAGCCATGCTCACAGGACTCCAATCCAAGAAGCACCATACCTCTAGGGCTACCAGTAAGGCTCATGGCTTTCTCTTTCCTTCTCAGTACGCTAGCCTGCAATCGGCCATCGCCGATGCAGAACAACGCGGAGAACTGGCCCTCAAGGATGCCCGGGCCAAGCTGGTGGACCTGGAGGAGGCCCTGCAGAAAGCCAAGCAGGACATGGCCCGGCTGCTGCGTGAGTACCAGGAGCTGATGAACGTCAAGCTGGCCCTGGACGTGGAGATCGCCACCTACCGCAAGCTGCTGGAGGGCGAGGAGTGCAGGTGAGGGCAAAGGCACTAAGTCCATCCCAGCTGTCCGGCCATTCCTAGGGGCTCAAGTTGCTGCTCACCTGGAAAAGAGAGCAAAATGTAGGTGGAATTGGGTGGTGACAAAGAATACAGGTGCAATTTTTTTCACCACTAAATCGTTATCAGATTTAGGAACTGATCGGGTCTAAGTAATCAAATTCTATCAAAGGAGAAATTTGGTTACATGGCAGGGCTGGATATGTGGTATGAAAGGCTCTGGACTGGGAATGAACCGTCCTAGGATTTAGGCTTACAAGTCTACCACTAACTAGCTGTGTAACCTTAGGAAAATCAGTATCTCCTCTGGGCCTCAATTTCTTCAATGATAGAATCATATGATCCCCAAAGCTCAGGGAGAGCTTTGTGCTCTGCCATTAACCAGCTGTGTGACCGAGGACAAATTACTTAACCTCTCCATTCCTCAGTGTCCTCACCTGTACAATGGGGATAAGCATAGTTACTAGCTCAAATGTGTTTAAGAGGGTTAATACAGCAAATACACATGAAGCTCTTACAACAACATATGGTACATAAAAAGTGTTCATTAATTTTTAGTTATCATTCAGGTTAGTGGCCAAAGATGTGGGCTTCGGAGTCAAATGAATCTGGCTTCAAATCTGGCTTTGTGATCATGGGCAGGTTAATTAACCTCTCTGAGCTTCAATTTCCCCATCTGTAAAAGTGAAATAATAGTATCTGCTTAATGGAGTTGTTGAGAGCATTAAGTGGCATAGTGTAGGCAAAAGGTACCCAATAATTGTTAGCCCTTTTTAGTTTTCTGAGTATATGTTTATGAATGAATACCAGTTCTGTCCTCAGGATGCTAAAACAAAATTAGCCTAGTGGCTGCCACAATAATAGACTGATTATTGCTATTGTTATGTTTATGACTCAGACTCCTCTCCACACCTATAAATAATAACCTTAGCACTGCTCATGCATGACAATAGTTCATTGTTGAAAGAGAACTATTCTTGTTCTATAACAAACCCTGCTTTCCAGTTGACACCAGTGGATAATTAGCTTTAATTCTCTTAAGGTGTCAACTTAGTTTAAACCAAAAATGTGTTTCTTAGATTACAGGTTTTACCCTATGAACGTCAAACTTCACATTATTTCATTCATTAAGTTATTTTTAACACTATTAGTACTTAAATAATTTCAACCTGCATTACTTCTGCAATAAAATAATAAAGGGGTTTTTTTTTTTAATGCATTTAAAACCATTACAAAAATGTCATTTCAAATGCCCACAAGCTACTGGACCCAATAGTAACCTCCTTCTCCCCTCTCCTTCCAATCAGGCTGAGTGGAGAAGGTGTTTCTCCAGTTAACATCTGTGAGTATGACATCCTTTGTGTCATTTGGAGTTATATGACTGGGGGATGGGGTGGTGGTGGGCTTGCACGGGCACTGGAGGGTATCCCAGCCATAGGGCTCATTTTGAGACGGTTTGAGGTTTTGAATTCGTTAAAAAGGGAGCCATATTAAGAGAGAGTCTTCAGTGTCACAATTCTTACCTCTTTATAAGTGAGAGAGCACCACAGAGGGGACGATGGGAGGTTTGCTGTCCTTCTGCATGGTTTTAAAAGACCCATGGACCACACTTCCCAACTCCCAGGTCTCTACCCCTTTCTTGGGGGGCTGCAAGTATAGCTCAGAGATGTATGTTTGATGTAGACAGGCTTTATGAAAACTCCTGGTCTGCCCTCAGCCTTTGAAGGGAGCCTTCGCACTGGGCGTAAGGGATTGCCATCTAGGAAGCCACTTCCCTGAACAGTCGGGGGAGAATCCCCACTGCTTGGCTTAACTCTGTAGAGTATAATACAGAAAGTTACCAAAGGTTTTCAAGGCAGTGAGAGCGCCATAAGACATAGCAGTCGGGTGAGAAACAGGAGAGGTGTTAGCAAGCTAGCACAGCCCCGAGCCAGGAAAAGCAGAAGGCGTCACTCACATAGCTCAGTGCTGGCACCGTGAGGCCAGCAGAAATGACTTCTACAACTTAAACTCTACAAGCAAGTTTGGTTTTCTTGACGTGGGATTCACAAAAGCATTTGGTTATATTAGCTAATGATTCTGGAAGACTGAGCCCTCTAAACCACCCAGAGGTCCTACCCTGATGTCCTTGTCTAGTGGCTCCAGAAACACTAAAAGCTAATTTTGGGAATGGATGACACAACTTCGAAAGTTTCCTTTCTCTTGTAAGAACCTACAAGTCTCTATTGGTTTCCTAGGGCTGATGCAACAAAATAGCACAAACCTGGTGGCTTAAAACAACAGAAATTTATTGTCTCATTGTTCTGCAGACTAGAGATCCAAAATGGAAGTGCCAGCAGGGCCACGTTCCCTCTGAAACCTGTAGGAGATAACCCTCCCTTGCCTCTTCTAGCTTCTAGTGGTGGCTGTCAGTCCTAGGCTCATCATTCCAATCTCCATCTCTGTGATCATAAGACCATTTCCCTGTGTGTCTGTCTTCACATGGACATCTGCCCTCTTTTTATAAGGACACTAGTCATATTTCCAAATAAGTTCACATTCACAGGTACTGGAGATTAGGACTTCTACATGTTTTTTTGGAGGACACAATTCATCCCCTGACAGAGTTCATTTTTTATTTCAATTTTCTTTCTCAACAGTCCGAAGTAGGGTCCTAGATGTTTAAGTTGATGATGATCATAAAAGTTAAGAAAAGAGTAAGTTAGGGGAAATTAGGGGCCAGAGTTGGCTGGCTAAAGTGTCATCTGTCACTTGGTTTATGAGGAATATTCCAGCCCCTCTCTTGGATCCAGAGCGTGGACGTTGAGGGACATCAAGGGAGTATATACATGTCCCCTCTATGAGCTTGCAGAAGGAAGGGAGACCTCAAAGTCAGGCCACAGAGGCAGATGGGGACAGAGCAGCAGGGGAGAGTGTGATGGGATCAAAGGGAAAGGCAGGTGGACCGAATAGCTGCCAGGAGGAGAGAAGTCTCTACTAAGTTCTACAAGGAAAAGAGAGGTGCTAAGTAGCAGAGGGGAGGCAGGGAGCCATTCCAGACTGAGAGAATCCCTGGCACTGCAGTGCAAGTCAAAGCGGGCTGAGGCATAGGACAGCGGTCTCACGATGCGGACGGGACAACCGGAAGGAGACAAATAACTACCTGATGAGACCACTGTCCCTACCCCATGACTTCAGCGCACAGGTCAGGACACCCCAGGTGTCTTCTCTCCTGCTCTTGGTTCTGACCATGTCTCCTCTCTTCCGGCAGCTGTGGTAACCTCCACCGTTTCCAGTGGCTATGGAGGTGGCAGCGGCATTGGAGGTGGAAGCCTGGGTCTCGGTGGGGGCAGCGGCTACTCCTTCACCACCAGTGGTGGGCACGGCCTGGGTGCAGGCCTCGGGGGCTCCAGCTTCAGTGCTAGCAGCAACCGGGGGCTTGGGGGCAGTGGCTCCAGTGTCAAATTTGTCTCCACTACGTCCTCCAGTCG